GTGTGTGTGTGTGCGTGCGAGCGAAGGAGATCAGTTCAGTAACCTAATCGCACTTTACAGTACAAAAATATATTCTCATCAAACACTTTAAAGTGGTCCGCTGGTGTAAGTGTCACTGGTTCGGTTCCCAGAATCAGGGTCAAGTCCTGACTGTTGAATAACATATCATCATACATGATCATCATCATGCAGTTGAGGGTTCAATTCCCATCCTCGGGACTGTTTTATGGCTCTGGTACCTGAATGTTTAGACCAAACAGTGACAGTGTGGTTGTTGGTTTTATTCCTATCAGTCTTTTCCATGTGGCTGCATGTTGGATGGTTCCTAATCTTTTATGAACACAGGCTGTGAATGATTTAATAATGAAACAGCCAATGTGATTATTGGTGCATTTCCATTTATCCAGAGTCATCTGGTCATTGCGTGGGTGGTCGGCGGTTTTACTCATAGTGGTTTTATTAATGTAACCTTGCTCGGGAGTTGACCCGAGGTTGACCAGCATCAAGTGTGTGTGTGTGTGTGTACCTTTTCAGCCAGAGCCTCCTCCAGTGTTCCCAGTGCGGTGTCGGTGTTGGAGGTGTCTGTCTGTAAAGACTTGACTCTGTCTTTCAGGCCGCCCAGCTGTTTCTCTTTATCCCGCAGCTGATCCTGGAGATTCTCTATCTACAGAGAGAGAAATGGAAAGAAAATCTCATAAACAAGAAAAACTCGTAAATGTTTATGATGAAATAATTCACTTATTTACCAAAGTGTATTGGCTCTCAAACACTGGTGCAACTGCTTGTAACTAGAGCTCAGACGATAGTGATTTTTTATAGAGGAACAGAAAGTATAACACTTAACTTAGCTGGAAATTAGACTATAAACAACAGCTATGACTAAATATATGTAAATAAGGCTCAAAGATACACAACTACAGCCCTTAAAATTAACTGTTCTCCTTTTGTTCTTCCTCTCTTCTTTCAAAACTGAAATATGTTGTTTCTTACAATCTGGCATACTGTATATACAGATATAAATTAATCTTTGATAATTATATAATATCAGCCTGGCCAGTGCTATCTGGCAGGCTTTACTTGTAACAGCAACAAATAATGATAATTTAGATTATTTATTTGATGTTTCGTCATCCAAATGCATCACTAATTTAAACTGAATTAAAAAATGAAGCAAATCTTCTGATAAAATAATCATATTCAAATGTTTTTTCAGCGTCATTCTAGAAGCATTGTAAACATTAAAGGGGCTTTTGATTATTTGAATTGATTGAATTTTCAGGCAAGTCCTCTTTTTTATTACATTCATATAACACCAAACGGGGAAATCACCATTTTCCCACCCTTTAGTGACAGGAGTGAGTTTCCCTGGCAGTCAGTAAACATACACAAACAGCAAGATGCATTCAAAGATCACTAAGGATGAAACTGAAAGCTGTATTTACATTGTGGTCCTGTGATTCTATCTGGAGATTTTCAACCTATAAAAAAAAACAGAGCGTTGCTGCGCTGTCAAACACAAACTTTCTCCTTAAGTTCTGCTACCTTTAACCCTTACTCCAAATGTACACTCTCTTTACCTCCACCTCTTTCTCTCTGCCTCCTTCTGTTTCCTCTCACAGTGATTTAGTAGCAGATTAATTTTCTGTTAAAACACAAAATCAGCAGAAATAACTGGACGACTCGCTCTTTCCCTGAACCCGCAATGAGTGTATGTATCTGTGCGCGCATATATATGTGTGTGTGTGAGAGAGAGAGATCAGAGACAAAGATAAGGAGTTATGTCAACTTTGTGGTATTCATTAAAAAATGGATGGAACAAAAGGTTGAACAGAAATAATGAATTGAGGACAGAAGAGAGAGATGGAAAGCTTATGTAATGTGGTGGTGAGAGTGAACTCGGGCTGTAAAATAACACAATTTCCCTCTCCCTCTCTTTCTGTCTCTCCTTCCTCCGCTTTGCCAGAGAGAAAGGAAATCAAGCGATTGACAACCCGTCACCAAGAAAAAAAGAAGAAAAGTCAGATTGGTATGTAACCTATGACTCCACTGCAGGTGAGACACACACATTTACAGTACCGTGGAGATGTGTGTGTGTTCATACAGTAAAACATTTCCAGCACCTCATTAATCAACTGCTCACCTGACAGCTTGACTGACACCTCCTCGTCACACACACACACACACACACACACTTGACATTGAGAGGCAGGGAGACTCTTTGATCCCGTCTGCACTTCCTGAAACTGACAACTTCTGGTTGCTTGGAATACACACACATATACAGTATTTACAAACCCACACACACACTTAATGTCTGCCTATTTTAGTCTCAAAATTGGCTGTGATAATTAACTAAACAATAACTGGATGACGCTCCTCTTCATCTATGTCATTAGGTTTCTCCACATATAACAGAAAATTGCATTCAACAACAAAGAGACGGGGATGATGGGACATCAGAAGAATACTGAATTCTATGGACTCAAGGTAATTTCCTTCACTGCTAACATGTAATGAAAGGTAAAAACATTAAGAGGGAAAGGCGTCGGAGGAGGAGAATGGGGAGGAGGAGGAGAATGTCGAAAGATGGTATTTTTAGTTTTTTCCACATGCAAAAAGAGGAGAAATGAGGAAATGATAAGTGCAGATTAGATAAACGAGGAGTCAGCAGCATTTCTGGCTCCCTCTCAGACACTGGACTGTATTCTATTTGAAGACGGCAGAGGTCATCATTTATTGAACAGGAGGAACTCATTAGTATGCATCTGATTTCAAACACACTCAGTCGGTCTCCTCCCCCTCCCTGTCCTGTTTTATGTCTGTCTGCTTGATTGTCTCTATCAATTATCTTCTCACATTCTACATTTTTTTTCCCACAAGTGACAACTGGAGGGATGGGGAGGGAAAAAAAGGGGGAGGAGGTTACTTTTTTTTTATGGCGAGAGATGCAAAAGGTTGGTAATGGGTGAGTTTGGCGGTATACTGGGTTTAATTTCTGTCTAAACAATTGTCTGAACCTGTCCTTACCCTTCATTCTCCCATCCATCTAAAACCAGTGTGTGTGTGTGTGTGTGTGTGTGTCTATGTACAGGGGGTCACTATTACCCATCCATCTAATTGACAGCATTTCCATAGTGACACACACACACAAAAACACGTCGAAAAGCCAAAAATATGCAGAAAGCATCTGTAACTCTGGCTGCCTCTATACCTGCCTGTCTGTTTGTCCGCCTGTCTGCCTGCTCACCTGTCTGTCTGGTTCAGCTCCCACACTACACACTGTCTTACAGCCCCATCTAGTGGCTGTAGTATTACATGACAACATTATATTCTTGTTACTTGCAGATTTCATCTGCAGAGCAAATTGCATGTGTCATCCACAACATATTCATCTACAAAATTATATCTCATAATCAGTCGCATCAAAGTCCCAGGAGAAATAACTCAACTGAACTGAATGAAGATTTCTCAGTTAGTGACACTGTTTTTGTTTTAAGAAAAGAGGAAGTAGCGCTAGGTAGCATGAACAGCCACCATGGCAACAAAAATAGTGCCATCTATGGAAGCTAAAATGTTGCAATCAGAAAATCCAATTTGGATAACATGACAGTAGAGCTCTCAATGTTTAATTGCAATGTGTAGGAAGTGCCGTGCAACAGCAATGACTGCTGTGCTCCAAACATTTTACAGGATCGCAAATATTTCAACTTTGCATTTTGTGTATGTGTTCCGTCAGTTTTCCTACCTTCTTTTGCAGTACAATAACTTTGCGTTCCTTGACGTCCAGCATGTCTTTGAGGTCGCTGATCTCTCCATGCTGAGTGCTTTTCTCCTCTGTCAACTCTGATATCTGTTGACTCTTTTTAGAGAGGAGAGATTCCTTTTCCTCTAAACGCAGACGAAGAGCATCCACCTGTGCACACACACACACAAATAAAAGCCAGTTGAAAGAAATATTAATAAACCAAAGATCAATTTTCTTGTGATAAGTAATGGTACTATTACGTAAAGCAACAAGTACTGGTAGAAGAGTAACTGTACCTCAGTCTGTAGTATGGCTGCTCTCTGTTCCTTGGCAGTGAGTGACTCCTTGAGTACGTCCACATGTTGTTTACTGTCAGAAAACTGATTGTTGAGAGTTTCCAATTTGGTCCTAAAAGCCAACAGCTCGCTGTCTTTACGACTCAGGTCCTGCTTTGCTTGTTCCATCTGAGTAACACACACACGGCATGAAAAGATTAAAATGTATTCAAATCCATTACAAGCTTTATTAAGTGAGCACTTGGTGTAGGCACTAGTTTTGCGGGAGTGATACTTCTAGATTACACAGCGTGGATTGAGTGGCCGTCTACAAGGTCTACTGTGTTAGTTTATAGCCAGAAAGCCGTGAGTTTGATCTATAAGTATAACCTGAACACATTTAGGACTTTTTTCATACAAAGAAAAACTAGTTGTGGTTCTTATTTCTGTCCTGGAAAGCAAACAACAATTAGATATACATCTCAACAAAGTATGTGCAGTATTAGACACCTATTAACATATATTATACTTCCCAGCTGCTTTTTTGTACTGTATGAGAGGTCAGGGTTGATTCTCCGATATCCCAAAATGATTTAAAAGAAAACATGGAAACAGTTTAATCTCCACATAGTTAATCTGACATAGTTAAAGTTTCTTTTGCACATAGAGGGATCCAGGGCCAGGATCACAGGGGCATTGGTCCCATTAGAAATTTCATTGTTCCCGGAACGTCCCCTCAAGGATCATTGACAGCAAAACATTAATGTGACTAACAACACCATACGAGTTGTATGGTAATTCATGGTATCACTCACGATTCAGCACGTTAGCTAATGTTTGACTGTTGTTGCTGAACTTCTGTCTGTCTACCGTTTTAATAATGTTAAATAATTATTAGTTAGCTAGGTAACTTCAGCTAACTAGCATTAGCTGACAAAGCTAAGCATTGTTGGAATGTAACGTTATCTAGCGCTAACAAATATGTCAGCATGTACATAGAGTTTAGCATCGGATTAGCAGGACCTGTATCCTCCCCAGTAAATGACACTGTTTTCTGGCGCCTAAATTTTGTGTTCAGTTTTTAAAAGACAATGACGCCCCAAGTAGATTTGCTGTTAGGTAGGTTTGTGGCTATTTACATGCATAAAAAGTCACCAGAACGCAGGAAGTGAACTGTCTAATACTCAAACATTCCTGGGGAAGCCTTTGTGGCCCCTGATTTAGAAAAATCCTAGATCCGCTCCTGCTTCGGCATCTCAATGAGGTGACTGGGAGTGAATATAACACATAAAAAGAATGGACCCAAACCACTCTGTCAGGGCACAGTATAAAAACATCAGCATACTAATCCAAGCCACTAGTTCATGAGAAATCTCATGCAAGAAGAAAGAGAAGCAGGTTAGAGACACACATACTGTAGCAGAGCAGAGCTGGATTCTCAGCTTGAAGTCTGTAATTGTACAGTTCAGACTGCTAGAAACAACTATTACTGTCAACAGCCACTGATCATAAACAGAGTAGGAGGACCTCCTAACAAAATAGCATACATAAAAATAAAGTGATGATAGCTTGTGACCGAATGACAAAATGTACTTCAGAATATGAATGTATGAATAGATGTTCTCCTCCTCAAAATTAGTATTTGTTGTCAGCTGCTTAGAGTGCACAGCATTTGAGAGTTATAGTTGCTCCCTGCTGTCTGAACACACAGACACGCTACTGAGAATCTACTGGGATTCTACTCAAGCAGCAGCCTTTAGCCATTAGTCAACCTGGGAGCCAGAAAGGTGAAGAAAGCAACTAAGAAAGAAAGAAAGAGCACAGAGGTGTGTCTCTTACTGCGGACACCTCCCGCTGGAGCTCATTGGCTCGTTGCCTTAGCTCCTCCTTCTCTGATTGGCTGTGCGTTAGCTCTTCCTTTAGCTGCTCAACCTGGCAGGAGAGGAGGGCGTCACCATGACCACAACAAATCAGCCGCCACAGTCACTCACCACTCTGACCACATGCGGCATATGTAAACACCTCACATGCTGAAATAATACATGAAAACCACCTACTGTACATCCTAAACTGGATATGTCCTACCACCATGTACTGGTATGAGTGTGTGTCAGTGTGTAACAGTTTTAATGTCCTCCATGTCAAACATTATGATAAGGAAGACCATGACATGAAAACATAATACAGTTTAGGTTCTCATAGAAAAGGTATATACATTCTCACATTAAAAGGTATTTTGGAATGAGGTATACTGTCTGTATACTTAATTTATTGGTGTCCATGGACCAAAGGTCATATTTAAAATAACTCTCACATAAACAACCATAAAAACTTGTGAGAGGTTTTTTCCCTTCATTTTCTAGTAATTAAACACATACCCAAACACAAAATCTAGGATATTGATAGTGTAGTTTAGTGTAGGCTTCCTTATGCCCTTATAAACAGGCCAAATATTGTTTCACAGTGGCTTCTCTTATAAAGAAATCTCGAAACTGGGAGTAGTGATCTTGGTTCATAGTGTCTCTTAATTAACAAATCATATGGAGGTTTGTGGTTGATTCAGGGCTTTGCCTGGTCCTAAACACATTTAAAGACCATAAATATATAGGTCTTTAAATAAATATATAATATATATATATATATATGCTGATGAATGATTTCTAAAACAAGGATGTAACGCATATGGAGTATTACTATAAACATCTAAGAATGCATGTTAAAAATGATTAATACAAGAATGAAAAGGTACTGTAAAGAAAGAGGTATAAATTTCTTCTTTTCACGTGACATAACAAAACAAATACTTTCAACTAAAGACAACCAAAAGAAGCAAACAGAGAAAAAACATCTTCTGAATTCCCAAACTGTCTCATCTCCTCACATGACAGAAGTATTGGTTTGTTTTAATGAGCGTGGCTCACACAGTAACCCCCTTTTGTTCTTGACACTACAGCTGCATCCATCAAGTATAAAGAAGTTTTTTTTTTCCAGCAAAATCCTGCAATCTTTCAAAACACGGAAAGAAAAAATGGTTAGACAAGCGCATGAGGTGTGTGTGTGTGTGTGTGTGTGTCACCTTGTTCTTCATGAACTTGGAGTGGGATCTGTAGACCTCCATCTGTTTGATCTCTTCCTCCCTCTCCTCGCTGCTCAGAGCCCCATTGGACTTGAGCATGTTTACCTCCTCCTCCAGCTCTCTAATGCCACGCTCCATCGAGCTGATCTTTGCATCCTGGCAGGACATCAACATGTTCATGTTAAGAGGAAAGACCAATGATTTACTGTACCTGGGCCATAAATATTATCACAGAATGAAATATATTCCTTTAATATTTCTGACAGATGAGCAGAGCTGGAAATTCAGTCAAAGAAAGTCCATATGAAAGGTAACATCAGCATGGACTGAGAAATTGAGACAGGAAAAGGCACTGAGTTACTAATAGAATTTATAGCCTTGATCTTTAGCCTTAGCAATAAAACTGGGTGGTTTGGAGATGTAGTGTAAATATGAACAATATGAAGTAGCTGACAATGAAAAATAACTGTACTAATGTGAACATGTTTGCATTATGCACCCATCAACAACATTTAGGAGGCCCCCACAAACATCTATTTTCTGTTAACAATTTAAACTTTGCAGGTTTGAAAATCTGTGACGATCTATGGAGGCACGTCCACCAGAGGGAGTTATTTGAGTTATACTGTTAGCTTTGATAATTGATAATGATTGATAATTGTTTTGGTATCATTAGGAAACTCGTTTGAGTTTACATATGATAAATAATAAAGTGTGGGATATAGAAAATATTGTTTATTGAAACAGCAAATATGTTTGCAACATAGCGAGGAAAAACATCAGACTGAAGCTGGACATCAAAGGCAGTTCATCTACACAAAAAACTGATGAAGGCAAGAAAATATGCATGATATTTATATTTTCATATTTATTCAGGGTCAAGGAAAGTGAAACAGTAGAAACCGAGGCTTTATGATACAAAAAGCGAACACCAACTGTAAAAAGCTGTAAAAGCCAACTGTGATATAATTTTCACAGTAATGTGTTCAATATGTAGTGCACCAGGAAATTAGGTGATTTTCAGTTTCAAATTTTCAACAGTTTTTGAAAAAATCCTGTAAAATATTGGACTGGATAATTGATATAATATTTGATAAAAGTTATTTGAGGCTGATACCTGATATCAATATTTGAGTGTCTTAAGTCAATATATCGGCTGATAGTACACAAAATAATCAACAACATGTTTACCTTCATTTCAATGACTGTCTGCAAGGCCTTGGTCTTGGTTGATTCTGGAGCTGCTTCATATCTCCTGTGTAGCTCCTGAGGGACACAGACACCACGGTGGTCAGGAGACAACAGAGAGAGAGACGCAGAGGGATGGTGTGAGGGATGGAGTGAGGGATGGAGTGAGGGATGGTGTGAGGAATGGAGTGAGGGATGGTGTGAGGGAAGGAGTGAGGGATGAAGTGAGGGATGGAGTGAGGGAGAAGGAGGTCGTGGGCCAGGACAGGAGGCGACAGCAACTGATGGAAAGGGATGGAGCGTGGGCTGAATGGAGGGTGTAGGCCGTGGAGCGGGAGCAGGGAAGGACGGCGAGCGCTGGAGGGAAGGATGGACCGAGGAGGCGACAACGAAAGAGGGATAGTGGGGAGGACAGGAGGAGGGGAAGACAACGGGATGGATGGAGTGCCGATGGGAAGGAGGGGAAGGTGCGGGGAAAGAGGGAGAGGAGCACAGTGGGTGATGGCGCGAGGGGGAGAAATGAGGAGAGGGTTGGAAGGGGGGAGACACGTGGAAAGGAGGTGGAATAGGGATGGAGGGAGAAACAGGAAAAGAGGGAGAGATGGGGATGGAGGGGGAGGCGGGAAGGAGTTGTTTTCCTCTTGCGTAGGAGCTGGCTTTTAGCCTCCTTGGGTCGATCCGTCCATCCCACATCGTTCAACCTGTGAGGAACGCCACTATCTGAGCGGACACCGTTTCAGATCAAATCTGACAGCCTGAAATTATTCTAATTTAATGAATTAGCTCCCAGCTTTGAAGCCTTCGGGTTCAAATGAAATCTAAAGTGGTGCAGAACATAAAAAAAGTCCATGTAAAAAAAAAAACAAATGAAAAGATCCAGTCTTACGGCTTCAAATGCTTGAAACTCTAACTACAGAATGCCAGTTTCAATCTCATACAGCAGCATCATATCACAAAAATAATATCTATTATACATAACTCATAAAAAACATACAAGAATCTGGTAGGTCTACACTCGATTTCTCTTCGTAAAATTAATATAAAATTATCTAAAGTCAAAATTTTAACTACACTAATCCACTGAGCTATACGCAACGCAAATCCTATCTATGTGGCTGTTGTTACCACATCACAACTCACTAGTCAAATGAAGTCAGAGCAAAGGGAAGGGAGAGAAAGAAGAAGAGGGAGTGTAGTGGCAGATGTAAAGGCACAAAAAAAAGAGACAGAAAGGACGGGCAGAAAGAGTACGAGAGAGGGAGGGAATGAAAGCAGAGGGGAGGACATAGCAGTGTACGCATCACTGCTTTTCTTTGGAGAAAACACACTTAGAGGCTAACAAAGAAAGCTAATGCATGAGCCAGGAAGCACAAAAACACACATATGTGAAAGGGATGGTGGGGTGCCATGGCTTAAGGCGCTTGTATGAATGCTATGAATGCTCATGACCACACAAGCACACACACACATACTCAAACACACACTCAGATATTCCCTCAAAAAAGATGTCTTGTTTGGTTATCCCTTCCTGGAGATGGTTACAGGTAAGATTAGAACTAATGTAGACATTGTAAAAGTGTGGAAGTAGGGAAAAAAGGTCACTAATATGACTTACTTCTATGAATCCAGTTTTCTTGTTAATGCATATAAAATATTTCAGTGCTATATATATGATGGTCTAATAATTTAAAGTGACTCTATTTTAAAATTAGGTATTCAATAGCTTAGATTAAAATCCTTACAGCCTTTCTTTGCTCCCACACAGACGTCTTTTTACTGCTGCGCCTCAGCTCTAACCCCACTAGGGACATTTTTGAAGATAGGAATATATTGCTCTCTTTTTAGCTGTAGGGATTCTGCAAGAAGTGGCCCGTTAATTGGTGAAATTAACAATGTCCTAAAGACAAGTGTCAGCAGTGAAACAGGAAGTCTGCAAGACAAATGCACAATAGACACTTCTACACTATTTACTACTGTAATTTTTAGTTTAACCTATACTGAAACTATCTTCCAGATATTGCGTACTCTGATTCCGGTTCTCCTTAGGGGTTTTCTGCTTTGCAATTAACAATGTCTGTTGTCAAATACTGTCAAAAAAAAACTCTGTACAGCACACTGATGCAATGTGAGGCAACACGGGCCATTAAACCCTTTCTGAAAAAACTAAAAACATTTTGCTTCCTGACTTTCTTTCTCAGTCATTTGCTGCCTATGATACATTTAATGATGCATCACTTGCTCTTGTGCGTGTGTTTATGTGTATTTCACCCTCGCAGCTGTGGCTCGTGGTGCATTTGGAGCTGGTCATAAAAGGCTGGCTTGAGATCAGTTGTTTTGTATATTTTGCAGTGTAACTGAAACTGTTGTCAGCCTGGTGGCTCTTTGACAGGTTGAAGATGAATATTGTGTCACTGTAAATCTTTCTTGTGAGTCAGGAGGAGGTAAAAATGGTCCCTCCTGGGACAATAAAAGCTATTTATCTATCATTAATAAATAAATAAACATCTCATTTTGATACATTCTCTGTCCGTTACCCTGTACTTCAGTCAATTTTCTAATTATTTAGGACTGTGTTTTTATGTTGAAATGTCAGTCATAACAAATGTTTGAGTTATTGCTGGAATGTGTCCAGGAAAGATGTATCACAAAGCATCAAAATTATTTATTTAGGTATTCTGTACACTAAAATAAATGTTTTTTTCTACTGAAAAAGCTGAATGTCCATCTTTAAACACTTGTTGTTCATTAACAACATCTTACCACTAGAGGGAGGTGTTGATGTATGAAATAACAAACACGTTGATGAAAAGAGAGTTAAAGTAAGAAAAGAGACAAAATGAGCAGAAGAGAGAAGACTAGAATAGGATAAAGTGTGTATTCCTGTGTATTTGTGTGTTGATATTTCTGTTTTGTATTAAAATATGAATTAAGAGCCAAGAGTAAAAGCAGCCAAGGGCCTTTCCTGGAAATCACATGGTTTGATTTGCACACACTCACATCTGGCTGCACACAAAGACACACACCCTCACACATGGGAATGCTTGAATGCACTTTGTTTCTTCTTCACCAGTCACACGCACTGACACACACACACCTCTCTGAGTTGTAGCATCTCCTTGTCTTTTTGCTCCAGCAGGCCCTCCAGTTGGTGGATGGTCATCTCAGCATCAGCCAGACGCCTTGTGCGTTCATGGTCCTCCTCGGTTGCTCGGGACGACAGGCCTTTACTCTGCAACATTTCCAGTAACTTCTTTATGGATTCATCCCTGTTAGAAAAGAATCAATTTAATAGCATAAAATGGCAGCTAGAGGTCCCTGAAATCACGTGACTTGAGTCAAGTTCACAATGCTTTTTATCTTTACCTGGCAGTTAGCGTGTGTTTCTGTGTATCTATCCTCAGCTCCATCTCTTCCACAGTCTTCCTCAGGAGGAAGAGCTCTTTGACCTGTCGCTCGTACTCGCCATGGAGACGCAGGAAGTTCTCTTCTGTCATTTCCTGAGGGGAGATGGACTGATTTCCGAGGAGACCGGACTCTGAGTAATCGGACTGCAAGAGCTGGTTGAGATCCCGCTGGATTCTGAGCTCATCTTGTAAAGCCTGGATGGTGCACTGAAAATGCTGGAGGGAGAGAAAGAAGTTTAATTTAGAGGTGAAGCTGCTTAGAAGATTAATATAGCTAATAGAGTACCAAGTAAGATTTTTACTGTTCCATTGCACAACAGGACTATAAAATATTAGCAGAGGTTGTTAATCAGTGCTATCCACTTAATCTTTATTAAACTAAGATGGTCCACATGAAGGCTAGGTTAGGGACCAGGCAGTGCAAAAAAAAACTGAAACTGCCCAACAACTCAGGCGCCTGATCTCCAGACCAATTCAATGTGTGGTAAATTGATGGTAAAAACATACTGTGAAATTGGAAATTGGTCTGCTGCAGTAATGCTGGCTTTGCAAGGGCGCCTTTTTCCACCTCCTTTTTTTAGATGTTCTGGCCAAGTCCCACTAAGAGAACAACCCAGGGTGGACCCAGAGCATGCAGGGGAGATTATATCTCCCAGGTGACCTGCGAGCACTTGGGGATCACTGGAAGGAGCTGATGTAAGCTACAGGGCAAAAGGGCATTTGGGTTGCTGTGCTCACACTGTTGTCACTGTAAACCTGATAGGGATAAGCAACTTGAAAAGGAATGGATGGGTGGATGGTTGGACAGGGTGCTGGGGTAGCCCATTGTACAGTGGCAAGTGGCAACAATGGCAAGTCAAAACAGACAATGGACCATTGCCTTTTGCAGAGGTTTTTCTCGTCTTCTTGGAGATCTTGGGCTTGGTCTGGAATTATTACACTAATCCGAAATGCGAAGTATTCAGTTATTGATGCCATGGTTAACCTTGGCCTCATTTTACCTTCTAAAAATAATTCCAACACATTCCACAAAGTGAGATATAAATATCAATATTCAATATTTAGAGATACCCTGAGTTATTGATGTGGACCTGTAAAGCACGCACAGCTATACAAATAAACATCACTTGACTGAGACTTGAATGAGTTTGATTGATTTGCCCAATCCGTAAAATAGATCACGGCAGATCTTAAACAATGTGTGTGTGAGTGACCGGCAGAGACAGCATGTGTATGTCGTCTTGAGTGAGTGAGAGTGTCATAAAAGCGTGTTGGCAGGTTAGTATCACTACCATCGTAGCTGAGGACAACGTGACATGACTACCCCTGAGTCAGACAAAGGTTTAAACAGCACGTGTGTGTGTGTGTGTGTTGTTACAATGATGTCCCCCAGGCTTCTTTAAAATGCGTCACACATAACTTGAACAACAGCCAGGTCATCATCACCGGCACTGTGAGTCATGAAGTATTTCCAGAGATAAAAATAATACAGGTAGCAAAGTGCTGAGAAAGACAGTGCGTGAATGAGAGCAGAAGTAACCAGGAGATTAAAAAAGAAAAGGAGAGAAGACAAAGAAAGTGAAGAGGTTACAAAAAGGCAGAGATGCTATCGCTCCCTCGCAGCTATCGTTAATCAACACTGACGAGGGAAAGAATAGGATTAAAGGGAAAAGGAAAGAGATGGATGAGCAGGGAGGCAAAGAAAAACAACTCTAAGATATTGAGGAGGAGGAGAGAGAAAGCAGCAGACTTTGATCACACATACACTGAATGGTCGCACAAAGAGACACACTAAAAGAACAGGATGACAGATAATTAAATAATATCAAAGTCTTTTATGATAGCTCCGCTTTATGTTGCAGGGCAGGCAGGGCAGTGCATCTCCTGCTTGGCCTTGTCCAATTCTGTTCATTTTCTATCTCTATTGAGGCAAATGTACAGAATATTGCAGCAAAACACAGTTAACATTTTAATGTTTGATCCTCATCTCTCCTTATTGTATCACCGTGTGTTTGTGTGGGTGAGTGGGTTTGTCTGCTGACTCATACAATATAGCTCCTCTCTCTCACACACACACACACACACACGCACACACGCACATGTTGATGACTGACTCTGACATTGATAGGACTTCCCTGAAGAAGAAGCATCCTTCTCCTCTCTTTAATATTGCCTCTCTGGTTTATCTCTCTGTTTCCATTCCAACTATGATTCCTCCCTCAGACACGCAAACACTGACCCACCCAAATGAGGAAAATGTGCAAGAGTTTGCACAAAATCTCAACTGTTTTTGAATAGGGCTTAACACGAAGTTGATCTTATTCTGAATCAACAGAATATTAACTAAAAACAGTTTTAACGTAATTTTTTATTATTTGTCTTAAGCACTTTATCAAAAGAAATATGTATGGATTCTGCTGTACCCAGTGTGAAAATCTGCAGGGATTTTAACTATATAAATAAGTTTGCCTTTAAGCTATGAATTGATTACCTGTAAAAACCAATGAAATCAATAGTGGAATTAATCATTGGTTGCAGCCATAGCTATTAATATAAACAGAATGTACACAGAAAAAGGCAGCTGCACAGTATATGTGCCAAAAGAATAGACAGACACACACACACACACACACATATTCATGCTCATTACAGCAATATGTATAGGATATAATATATTTCATGTGATATGTAGGTATTAAAGAAATGCACATGCATGCCATTTCCTGCACCATTCATTATATACTGTAACCAGTCAGGAAAACACACATACACACACACACATACACACACATCAAGCATCCCAAAGTATGTCAGAGTTTCAGAAATTAATGTGCAAACATACGCACACAAAGCCGACACAGAAACGCAAATCAGTGCGTTTCTGTATGAAGTCAAGCAAATACAGTACAAACACACACACACACACACACACAAACATCAAAAGGTTACATATAAAGAATTCAGAATCACACACACACACATACAAGGGCATGTGCCAGTAACTCCCCCCCTCAACGCACACACAGCTGGAATGTAGACCAGAGAAATGCCAGACCATAAGAGAGAGAGGGAAAAAAGGGAGTGAAATATAAAAAGGAAGCAAGCAGAAGGAAACAAAAACAGAGAGGGAGATAAGGAGAAGGGAGCAGTTAGAGAAAACAGTGCGTTAATTGTGTCCAGCAGAAATGGAAGGAGGGATGAAAAGAGGAGGAGAGAAAGAGAGAGACAGAGAGAAGGAGAGAGACTCAGGATACAAGTTGTGTTTTTCTTCTCAGTTTCTGCTGAGTTGTCTTTGGCTCCTTCACCTTTGACTCTGTGAAACACTGCCGTGCACAGGGGACCGAGAGGGTCAGCCACCACTCGAAAACAGAGACAGGAACGCAAACACACATGCCTCCAGAAACATGCACACATGTACTGTATACGTTCACATGTTGAAATCACACTGTGAGTCAGACTACACCACAACACTGTACAACAACATGCAAACCCAAACATTTTATTCCCTAACCACTCATCACTATGTTTACTTTACATGGCAGTTTTCAGTTTATTTTCACATTCAAATGATAAACTAGCATGAAAGAGAGAGACAAATCTAAACTGTGTACAAATGTGACAAACACACAAACAAGTAGACAAATCAAGATGACGAATCACTCCATCAGATGTCTAAGGGAGGGACGGATAAATTCATCAAGCTGATGTAAACAAGTGCAAGACGGGAGATTATCTTGATCGCAGTGATGTTCAACAAATCAAAACTTTATGAGTTTGATTGAAAAGTTCTCTCACTGTGTTCGTAGGAACATTTGGAAACCCTGTTGCATACCAGCTATGTACATGGTGGAATGCATTTACATGTATACACTGGAGCACAGTGGACTTAAAGGACATGTGTACGGTATGAGCACAAGACGGTCCATCAGCTCCTCAGATTTCATGTTGACTGTAAACACTATCTGGAGAAAACTAACCCACCACTGTGTTTATATGCAGATGAGCAACCAATGTTACTCAAAAAGCAGAGATTACTCCCTAAAAAAGGGCAATGGCAATGCTTAAGCAAACCTGCAGGGCGACATCAATTTAATGCTTCCGCACCCTGCTGTCAATAGAAAATTTGCTGTTTGTTGAACAGACTGCAGACGTTTTGTTCTCTTAAGCAATCTATCACTTGCAAATTACAACGTTAGCGGCCACTCTGGTTGTGAAATCAATAAATGCAAATACAAGATGTGACGAGCTCCTCCGACAAGCTGCTAATAAGAGCCTTCATCAGCCTCCATCTGTGTGTTTGTCTGTGTTTTCAGTTTAGCCGATATCAGAAGCAAAAGGAGCCAGAGGCATAAAATGATCCATATAACAATAACACGCCACCATCAGCTGTGCAGCCTTGTCTTTTTTTCCACCATTAGAACTTTTAAGCAACACGCTTCTAGGATGCTTCATGACCACAGGGCTTGTGGTAGAACCTAAAATAGGTTGGGGGGGGATCATTGTATTACAGCACTGCCTGAAGCACAGTTTCAGAGATCCAGTTTTTAGTCGCATAGAGGTTGCAAATGTAGGACTCAACATGACCTGATCATGACTTTTCTCCACTGAGTCTAGACCCAAATTCATCTTACTAGAAGGATTAAAAATGGCTTCAACAAAAGAGGGTTTACAACAAAGATTGTAGTTGAAATTGAACATATTGGATGTGTTAAGTGTCTTTGGAAACAGAAAAATAACCACTAGAAAAACAAATTAATGATGCTTTGTTTTCTAATGAGCAGTCTACATAATTGCAATACATACTTAGAGGAAAAAGAGGAGAGAAAACAAGAGCTGAGAAGAGAAAATCCATCTGTGAATATGGTGACAATTTTTCCAACCGCTCATCGTCCCCCCTTCAGGCCACTGCTCATCTGTCGTTTAATATTAACCATCTCTCCGTTATTACTCCTCCATCTCATCCCTCGCTTTTTCTGCGCTCGCCGGGTGAGTCACGCTCCCCCCCCTCCTCACAAACAGACACACACTGTGACAAACACACACACACACACGGCGAGCGCGCGATAATGCCCACACGCACACATAATGTTAGAGGCAGTGGTCATGCTGTTTGTGCGTGTGTGTGTGTGTGTGTGTAATGACCGTGAGCAGTTTGAAAGCATCGCCCACTCAGGAATCAGACAACAAGCAGATTAACACACACACTCTCTTCTTTC